CATTATCTGGCGGAAAATTTAAGGCCCCACATAAAGTCTAGGGTGATGGCACTTTCCTGGACAATAGCGAGGTCTGTTTTCCTCACATGACTGAGAACCAGCAGAACTATGTTAGTGGAATTTTCGATGTAGCGAGGCACACTTATTTTTGATGCGTGATTGTGACATTAGATGAGCTGCAGACTTACTTTTACGTATACAACAGTTGTTCTTTTGAACAAAGCTGCTACCTTCTCCGCCCAACCGTTCCTTCCAACGATGTTATAACATTTACAGAGTTACAACACGGAATTCACACGGATGTAGGTCGACAATGTCAAGATCGCAGCTCCTGACCGTAAGCTTTGCTCCGATCGGTTAGTCCGGTAGAAACAGAATTTGCTGAACTATTCTGGGTATAAAAATACCTGAACTACAACAAATACACTAATTTGCACACCAACTTGGTCATTAGGTGAAACTTTCCCAAAACGCAGTTGAATCTTTCGCTCATGGGTTTAATTAGAACATAAAACCAACAGAAACCCGGAGACTGCGCCTACCAGCTAAGCCCCGATAATGACGAAGCGAATCGTGGGCTGTCGAAGAATTTTCAGCAACCTTATGAGTAGTATATGACATCCAAAACTGAGTACTTTTGGATCCCAGTTAGTCACACTATTTCATCGACGAATCTCGTAGTTCACTTGGGAATTTTTCCAGAATCCACACATTGCGAAGATACGAGTAATCGTGATCATTCTCATCCTCATTGACAACATTTCTAGCAGAGAACGCTGGTGCTCCATTTCTGTACAACCATGTCACTTTCTATGTAGAAGAAAGGAGAAAATAGAGGAGGAATAAGGAAGTGGAACAGGGAGTGGGACCTAGGACTAGGGTGCAACTAAGGACCAAGGTGCTTAAACCTCCAGCACTCAGTTAGAAAATCTGGACTAAATCCACATCGGTTAGCAGTCGTATCGTTCAATGTCTCCAGCCAAACAAGGAGGGTCATGTGGACCCCATTCTGGAAGACAAATAGTCCCAGCAGCACTCATGCTTTCCGTCATATCCTTCGTTTCGTTCTATCGGGTTTCCCAACGGGAAATAGCACTCTTCTTGACAGGCGATAACTCGCTACACATAGCCTGGGCGCGTTCTTTGAGTGAGTGAGTTGACTTATGCTTCACCAAAGAACCGCTTCCTGCGAATGGATGTTCAAAGAGCTGAAGACCTATTAGGTTCTCTAAACGGCGTGACGAAGTTTTGCGGTCATACAGCCATACAGCGCCGACTGAGGTCTGGTACATGCGTCCTTCGATACCTAGTGAGTTGCTTATTTGGAGCAATAAGGAGCACACACACAAGGAGGCTCTTGCGTTCAGTTCGTCTGCCGCACTACCGTCAGAGCTAAAAAACAAACTTCGGAGATACATATAGTATTCTACGACTTCGAGTGTGATGAATTAACTTCTTGGAGATATGCTCAATGACTGTGTGGCCCTCTAGTTCGTGACGCGAAGCACATGTCGAAAAACTGGTCATCCGCGCGATTCCCATTCCTTTTTGAAGAGCAGAGCAATGTCCTCTAACTACTAGAGATCTTCCACAGTTCACCTCGGTACTTCACCGATGGAGCCAAAAGAGAATGGAAGTCGATGTATGCAGGGAAGCTTTTAGTGAGCTCTGTGTGTCACTTCATGTCACACTTACACTCTCCAAAGTAGCTCAATAGGCAATGGAGGTGCACAGAACGTCACTTAGTTGTGATCCCTATCTCTTCTGGAAGGGACGAGTATGTGCTAAGTACGAACTACTAAAATTCTGCATGGGCTTGCTTTCGGTGTTTGACACAGATTCATGTTGATATCGAGGAGTACTATGATGGTGGTGAAAACAGCTTGCGTTGCCTATCATGGGTGTTTGCTAGTGATTTCACTAAAAGTGACTGATATCCTCTCACTGATTGTACCGGACGAATCAGACTAAGTATTTACGACACTCTCATATGTGGTACATGTCGCTGAGTGTGCATGACGGATACTTTGTGCCTGATGTGAGAGTCTTGACTATGCTAGCGCTTACCGCGCCATGGAGAGCAATGAGCATTGTTTGTCCTTTCCTCGGTTGTTCGTCTTCACACGCGTGTTTCCATCCTAAAATCTCTTACCTACGTGGGGATTCATCTTTTCAGACTGGAACTGTTGTAGTATGCCCTCGAACGAGAAGCTTCCCTCTTTTTATCTAATATCATCGCGTAACCCTTCCACATCCATCATCTGCATTTGCTTTTTATGCCCATGCTGTTCAAAGATAAACAGAATTACAAGTGAAATAGGTCAGCAAAATTTCGTTGAACTTCAGATATAATGTGGAATACAGAAACCGCACGAAATGCGGCTATATTTCATCCCAAGTTATAGTTCAAAACCTTGAGGAAAGTGTGATTGATTGGTCTGATTTGGTCAGTTGCAATTTTTTGGTATAATTAGATATCTGGTTGCCTGCTCAGAATTTCTGCGGAGGTGGAACCACTGTGAACCCTTTTTTCATGCATTTGCTGTACTTTGGAGCGCCCACAACTATTTTAAGTAATCCATATGGGCCATATTTATTGAACGGTTCTCTAGTAAGCTGCACTGAAGCTGACCAGTAGCAGAACTACAATCTCTTCAGATGAATGAACTTTTAAGTGGACAACTGTAGTGCAAAGAAAGACACCCCCTAAAAACCATTGCTCATTCCGCTGATTATAATACTTACAATTGGTTCCTTGAGCGGTATGATTTTACTCTACCGCCCAATTCTGTGCATGCTTCTACATCTACACCACTTGGTATTTTTTCTCCAAGGGGTGCTTGTTTATTTTTGTTGAGAACGCCACTTAAATCTAATAGAACGTTTGGGACGAACCATGCTTCGCTGTGTATCCATGTGGATTCCTAAGAGTGCATTAAAGGAGTTGACCATTCACAGAGATTCGATTGCGCACGATGTGAGTTTAGTTCCAATAAGACTACTCTTCATCATGAGATCTTTGTGATCGGCAGTTAAACGGTCTACGGTGACTGATGAAGAATATCGTATGTCACTCCACCGTGAATAACGCAAAATCGACGAGACTTCTGTGGCTTCATTGTAGTATCTTGCTTGAGTTCACGAAGCTAAAAATCATATCCGGAGGTTTGAGCAGCGCAAGAAGCAAACTGCCAGTAATCGTGTACCCGCCCGGCGTGACAGGGGGGGGAACCCAATACATGAGTTTTGCATCTTGTCAGGAGGGGAGTTACTTCTCAGTGCTACCTAAGGCCACTATTGTTGGAGTCTAAGGGGGTGGCCTTTCAGAAAGTGTTGACTCCAAGCCAAATTTCTGGGGAACGGAGAGAATTCCTTTTAACTGGAAAAAAGATGGTCTTAGCTGAAATGAAGCATATAAGGGGAGCTGCTACTACCTCAGAGTTCTGTGCGCATCTTTCAGGACTAGATTGCTCAATTGTTCAATTGTTCTTTGATGCTATTCGAAATAACACTCTCTGTCGCTCTTATGGACAGGACGGACATTGTTGAGGGAAATATTACCTATACGTATGTATGTAGGTATGTATGTGTGTATATGTATGAAGATGACAACCCGCCCCATTCTGTACATTTGAAACGCCGGAAGCAAAAGTGTAGAAGGTAATTCTGTCACTCAATATTGGATCTTTCAAAAAAAAACTAATGCTGACAAGCTCAGAAAACAAAGCAATTGTGTAGTAAAACGCAATGTGTTGTTTGTCGGGGAGGACAACTGATGGGTTTGTGGTTTTTCAAAGGAACAAAACCTCCATAGGTACTATTTAACAGCGAGGCTTTCTTCCCGGACTTCAGCCAGCGCAACAGTGAGCCTGAAGTTGTAGTGTAGTTCAGTAAATGCCGTGTATATTGCAGGCTATCTATGCTTGGTTTCGGCTCACACAATTGTAATTTTTCGTTAATTTATTTGGCCAACATTATGAAGCAATATCACCGTGAAATAGACGGCAACTTGGATCACACTGCCAGAACAGTAGGGTCCGGATAGCCTTCAGTTTTAGTAACATGCCGGCATATACAATCTGAAAACGTTGGGTTAGCGTCTTCCTTTGCCTTAGGAAACATTAGCAGATTAATGATAGAGATTTGATGAGGTGACAGTGATGACCTCATACGGTCAGGCAACCCGATCACTTAATATTGCGTTGTGTAATATATCCGGCTACCAAGTATTATGATTGCGATTAACCCGCGGAGTTCCACAATATAAATGGGTAAAACCGTGTTTGACCGCTGTTCTACTATCTCAATGCATGCCTAACACACAAACACATACGCGTTACTATGCTTCTCCACTATACAATTAAACTGTCTACAACGAAGCTTTTGCGAAAATCACCATGAGCTGTTATTCGCCACACAACAATTTGTAACGTTGCAAGATCGGTAAGCTCCGTAAAATCTGGAAACAAGTTCACAATATTATTGAAAGTGTTCCCAAAGCCTTACCTCGACTGACCCAAGTGGTCTTAACCACTGATATCAAACAAAATCTCATGATAATTTTAGTTAGAAGCTCATTCCGTACAGGCAAGCGGTTCGCTTAGTAGATATGTGATAATTTTTTCTAACCAGTTCAGGTATAATTTTGTATCTGCATCTATAATGTGCCAACAGTCACGCTATGTCGAGGGAAATTCAAGCAGGCAGGAATGTGATTGGTCGGATTTTCCAAAACATTGATTGGTTGTTTAGTCGGTGCTATGATTTATGAAGACTATCGACAAGCCTAGTGTTTGGAGTTATTACTCTATCCGTAATGCTAACTGTTCATTGTTAACTACACCATGAATCAAACGCAGGATGAAGCAGCAGTGCTTCAAAGGTTGGAAGAAATCCACACACTAGTACGATTCGTCTGTGGCAAAACAATCGTTCCATGCCTGTGCTTTATCGGATTTTTTGCAAACGTTCTAAATGTGCTTGTTCTGACACGATCATGGATGAGTTCTTCAACGAATGTCTACCTGACAGCTGTGGCTGTCTGTGATGTCTTCTACCTAGTTGTCACGTACCTGTTTTACCTGAAGGCCTTTCAGTTCATCCAACGCTTTGGAGTATATATGTATGCTGTCCCGTTTCTACGCGTAACGGCTAACCTGTTCAGCAACACTACGACATGGTTGACCGTCTGTTTCACTATTGAACGTTACGTAGCTGTATCTTCCCCGATGTTGGGTCGCCGTTTTTGTACACAACAACGAGCTCGCTATGCTGTGGGTTTTCTTTGTCTCATCTCGTTTGTGTTCACATTCCCCGACTACCTCAAAGATACTGTGGTTCATAAATCCCGTCCTATTTCTGGCTCATTGGGAAAATTCGCTAATGAAACCCCAGCATCAGATGAGCGCATCGTAGACTACGCAATCAGTGATTTACCTACGAAACGATACCTCATTCTTATCGGATATGATTATATAAATCAAATTCTCTTCGTTTTGGTCCCGCTTATTCTCCTAATTATTTTTAATAGTCTACTAATTCGCACCGTGATCGAAGCGAACAAAGACCGTCAAGGTCTTGTTCACCGAAGCACGAAACATCCGTCTAGCAACCTTTCAGTAAAACCCGAGTTTGGCCAGCAACATATGCCCCCAAAAAGTCGTTCTCTCAAAACTCCTGCAGTGACCGACGCCCTTGAAGCTAGTATGCAAACAACCGTGGAATTGGCCTCTGGAATCTCACAAGCTGGGACCAAGTTCACCTTCTCGAGAAGGCGACCGATCTTTGGCGAACAGCAACGCATCACTATGATGCTGATCACCATTGTGATTGCATTTGTTCTCCTACAACTTCCAAGCATAGTTCCAACGGTAATGGAAAATTTATGGAAAGCTAAAGTACTGGAACAAACACAAATCATGATTTTATACATGAAGATCTACTCAAACATTTCAAACGTTTTATTGGTAATGAACGCTGCAATGAATTTTGTGTTTTATTCTCTTTTCTCTGCCAAATTTCGTCAAACTTGTTACGCTTTGTTCCAGCAGTGTGAATGTTGTGGCGGTGCTCACATTGCTAGAGGATGGCACCCGGTCAGTACCCTGTCACACTCTCCGGGGCAAACAAGTGACAGAAATTTGGTTCGTCGAGGGAGTATCAAACGCAGTACGATTGCGCAGAGCACACGAGTGAACGCAAAGGATCTGAATGCCCCTCGCTGACACATCTACTCTAGTCAAAATCTGAGAGAGTTCAATTATTATACAACTCAAGGCAGAGTGGAACTGGTGGATTTCCGTACGTCAGTACTGTTCGTTTTTCAAGGACTCTCTAAGTATTCCCACTTTGTTCAAACTGTGAGAGGACAACAAAGTAAGCCTGTATGTAATTCTATTGTCATTAGGATGAACTAGACATTGCCAATTAACACGGTTTTTTATCAGTGGAGTCTTTTGAATTCATTAAAATGCGTTGGCAGCACGATAGCAGAGAAACAGAGACACTCTCAGCCGGAGACCAGTTGCGAATTTTATGAGTGGGGAGGTTTCAGTCCATCTTTCTTTCTAGATCCGGCATATCACTATACAGTGCTTGTACGAAGAATTTATTCACAAAACCAATGTATTTGTTCCAAAGTTCATTTTTGCATACTCGTCAATTCTGAATTACTCAAAATGTGAACATTAGGCCTCACTAATACGAAATATAAACCCTCAGAGAATAAAACCGTTCAACCAAAAAATGGTGAAAGTGACGTTTTACTATTTTGCGAATATTCTCAAGATCGGTCGAGTTAATCAGACGACGGAGTGTGGACAGTGAACATGTGTCTTCTGCAAGGAGTTCATGGGCGTGCCCTCCTTCAACTTACTAGTCTTCCTTGGAATTGGTTTCTTCAGGCCTCTTTCGGTTAGCAGGATAACCCAGTGACCTAAAAAATACAGCAAAATGCGGACAGCTACGTGAAAACCACTCACCAAGATTACCATTGTGGTGCAACCCAAGTTTAGTCTTTTGCCAAAATTATTGGGATGTAGCGAGAACTGGCTTGGCATACAAAACGCAGTCACGAGGGCAGTTACCTTCTGCAGTTGGGAATATAAATATCAAGATGGTAGATTATGGCTTGTCTGGGAATCGGCAACAATTATCGGGCGTAGTGTCCTCCGGAGAAATGACTCTATGACAAGACGTAGGTGGATACCGATTTTTTTATGCAATTAGGATGTTGGGCACCCGATGCTCACATCTTTCAGCTATGACAGGCTATAGAGCACCCTGATTCAGCAAGTACAATCCAACTGAGGTCAAATGCGACAGCGGTCTCACCAGTCTAAACAAAATGCGGGCTCTAACGACACTGTAGACGAAACATAGCGATTCATTCAAAGAAAATTGTGTTAGAGTTGGGAAACTGTTAATTCCTGAGCTGCTTACCAGCAGAGGGGTCTCTCTTGAACACTACTCACATTTGCATACGAGTTTGTTTTTCCCGGGACACTCAGCTGAATCCATCTGAATCTTCCGTTTATGATACGGACCATCATAAGCGGGAGATTCAGCTGGATTCAAATCGGTCTTCTGTCAAAACTAAATTTGCGTGAAAATGTGAGCATTTGTCAAAATCTGTGTAATCTTGGTTCAGACAGAACATGACGTTGACGGAAGGTCGAGGATTGCGCCTACCTGATGAGCCCCAAGAGGGATGAAACCGGTCGTGGGCTGTCCAAGGGTATTCGGCGAACTTGTGCGTTGGTCTAGAAAACAAGGGTCTCTTTCAACTAAAAGAGTTTTGGCAAACAGTCGGTGGATTCGTTGATGGGCAACGTTTCCCTTTTGATACAACGTAAAGTGAATAAGTTACCGGGTTGACCGGGTTTAAAGGGGAGACATCGAACAAAGCGGTCAGATGACTTACAATCATCTGACTGAAGCAGCGCCGGATGTCAGTCGGAAGGTCTTCTCTCGTCGATCTTGTCGTCATCATGAATGAGATTGACTCATTGCAGAAGATTGAAAACACCTAACTGTTGGTACTTACCGACTAACTGGCAGCGACAAGATGACGTCAGTGATGAATAAGAGTAAGGTTGAAGTTTTAAAGTCGATAGTAAATCATGACAAGTAGTATGCGTGTACCTAACATGTGCAAACTACCCACGACTTTATGGGTTACTTAAACTTATGAGAGGTGTTTCCGTAAGACGACTGTGATTGGCATAGTTCCACCACCATATTTAAACTATTCAGATTTCTGACAGTTATCGTGAAACCACTCACCAGTAAGTCAACCATATATATTCTGTATTCGCATGATCTTGTTTACAAAATAGCAGAGTTTACATTGCAGCAAGTCAAAGTCTTCGTTAGTTTTGATGTACTCGAATACCGGAAGTGGCGAAGTGGTTGCTACTGACAGAAACAACACTGTAAGACCAACCTCAGCTTGGAGGGATAGTTGAGAGCATAAAAATATGTTTAAACATCGGTCTCTTTGTTGTTGATTTAGTTGTTTTTTTATCCAGAACAAAGTTTAATCAAGCAAGAGATTTGCGTACAGAGTAGGTCGACCGAACGCCAGCACAAAATTGGGCAAAAAAGAGACTTTAAGACGGCGGACATGTAGTAGGGTTAACTTTGTGGCACCACCGATATCTAAGATGGAATGTGTCGGAACAGAAGACATCCCATTGAAGGGTGTTGAATACAGCTAGGGTTGAAGTGGAATTACAGAAGGGAAAGTCCTGATAATGGGGCACCTGGAGTCTGTGCATACAGAATAAAATGTAGCGTTTGCTTGGTGTTTAAACACATTTTGTGTACCCTTTCTGAAGATGAGAATAACCGTCGACAGGCCTCACTCTTCATGCACTTTTGCTTCGTCCCATATCGTACCAGTGAGCTTTGTTAAATGGGTCAGAAGGGGTTATCCCTCTTTGTTGAAGTAAGCTGGATACAGACAGTCCGGTCATAGTGCCTTCTCACGTTTCATTGCCGGTCGATTAAGGTATAAACCCCATCCACCTTATCTCTATGCACTACTTCCAGAGGTTGTGTTGCATAGGGCTACCTAAACTGTTCTTCAAAGTGTTTAGCCCGTTGTTCCTGTTGACATTTTTGCGAGCGAGTTAATGAGATGACTTTTTCACTTATCTTTAATTGTTTGCTGTTAGTCAATCATACCAGTTGATGTACGTCATGGCTATTTCCTGTGACAAAAGCTTTCTCCATCTCCCGAGCTTTTAATGTCCAGCAGAAGTCTTTCCGTAGTCTCTTTGCCGTCTGGCATTTGGGAGGTGTGCGTAGGCCGTCGTACTCGTTGCCTGCTGGTATTGATTTCTTGGCATCAATCATGGAATACCAAACTCGATGACATCCAGTAATCTTGGGGTCTAATCGGAGAAGTTTGATAGGCAGCACTAAACGCCGTTAGCCTGGCTCCTTTCACATTTTGCCTTGCTTCATCCACCCGCTCACTCCCAGCACAATATTGGTCTACTGTAGTGAGTTGCTGAGCTACCTCAGCTCGATCTCTTCAGCCATGATAATTCTTCGAGGACGGTAGATTGGTATGTTCTTGCTGACTTTCGAGGGCTTGGGGCAAACGCGGTCTGCACCAAAGCGCAATCGGAATCAAGTTTTGTCCCAGAAGGAACGGCAGTCTTGGTTTGTGGCTCCTCACCGGTGGATGATGGTCCTGTGATCCAACTGGTGGCCGTCAGGTTACGCGATACGAACGTTTATGCTGAAAATTCGTACTAGCCAGAAACAGTTACTGATCGGAGGCGTCGCTCTCCGTTGTCTGTCCGACTACCATCAACCCCGAAGCGACCGCTCAAATGTGATTTCCAGAGGCTCAGCCGAATGAATTGCGCATTCATATTGCCCCCAAGATGTCAATTCTTCTTACTCGATGAATAAACCCGGATAACTCGAACTAGAAAGTGTCCTGCTCAGCTGTAATCTTATGGGACATAAGCCGGCATTATAAATAGGCACCGGTTTTTATGTCGACAGACATCAGGCTTGATTAATCTGAATGGTCTGATCTTTGGCGACCATTTACTGCGATTCAGTTCATCGAAACACGTTTAGCTCTGGGGCTGAGTGCAACCCTCACCCCATACTTCCGACGAGTCATTGCTTCTGGTTCATTGGACACACGGAGGGAGAACTGTGAAAGATCTAGGTTGGTCGTTGGCGTTTTCAGATGTATAACCACGCTTGTGTCTTGTATACGTGTTTCAGAGATACAGTACTTGCCCCCAAGATGTCAATTCTTCTTACTCGATGAATAAACCCGGATAACTCTAACTAGAAAGTGTCCTGCTCAGCTGTAATCTTTTGGGACACCGGTATTTTGTCGACAGACATCAGGCTTGATTAATCTGGATGGTCTGATCTTCGGCGACCGTTCACTGCGATTCAGTCCATCAAAACACGTCTAGCTCTGGAGCTGAGTGCAACCCTCACTCCATACTTCTGACGAGTCATTGCTTCTGGTTCATTGAACACACGGAGGGAGAATTGTGAAAGATCTAGGTCGCTCGTTGGCGTTTTCAGATGTATAACCACGCTTGTGTCTTGTATGCGTGTTTCGGAGATACAGTACTCATCAATTTTAAGGGAGTATAAGGTTTCAGTGAGCACTGCATGTTTGCTAGTTTGACATAGAAAACAGACGTTAAAAGGCCGTATGTAGAAAGTATCTCGTGGATTTAGAAGGGTGTTGTTTTGTTTGTTGCTAGTGCGTAGCGAGATATATAAGACAGTCGGTCAGACAACTGACAGTCAAATAACCCAGCAACATTTGCTTACACAATGGGCAAGGGTTGGGGAGGGACATCGGTTGACACAGAACTGTTCGGGAAAATGATACTCCCCGGTTGCCCAGGCCGAGGAAGGGGGTTTGGCTGAGCTACCCACCTTGAGCCTCTGACTCAAGAGTCTGACCCGCGAGTCAGCGGGAAGCGGGATTTTCTATGGAGACGCTTTTCAGAGCGGATGACTTAATAGTCTGACCTGCTCGGCTGCGGAGGTTCGGGGTAGGGGGTAAGGCATTACGGTGTCACTCGTGATGCGGCTGCGTACAGCAGGTGCCTTTTGAGCAGCACTGGACTGGTTGGTTTTGAGAGTATTCCGAATGTTATGAACGATGAGTCAGTGGTCACGGCCAACCGTTGGGCGGTCGAAGTGGGCGGAATCGAGGCCGACTTTTTCT